CAAAATTGAAAAAAAAAATCTACAACTCAGGTGATTAAGGTATATCTTTTACTGCCTACAGTTTTTATTTCTTGTCAGTTCTCCACATAACTAGCTCACAATAGAAAATGAGTGCTATATACAGGCACCCCAGACCGCACAGCTGCTTACTCTGCTGGCCAGGGCGTTCTGCAGTAACGTCCTGTGTGAGGGGCTCTAATTATTGTTAAACTATAGGATTCATTCACTAAATAGTTATGTTTAATGACCTGAACTTAAAATCACAAAATTCGGGCTAAAATGGATAAGGTGTGAATATAGCAGTGTTATAAAATGTACACAAAACACCTATTTTAGCCGAAATTTAACAATTCAATACAATTAACTTTTTAGTGAATTAAATCTTCTGCAGTTGTGTGCGTTTTGGACGTTACAAGGGCCCAGGGCCGAAATATGCCCAGGGCCCAGGCTACTGTCAGTCCGCCCAAATAGTAAAATTACCAGTTTTACCAGTTCCCAGATGGGAGAGACATTTAAAACTAAACAATGGATAAGTGAGACACCACTCAAGTAGTATATTAATTAACATGTCCATATAGAATGATATATGCAGGGGGGCGGCGGGTGGTAGAAAATTAAATTAGGTTTATAGAGCATTTAAATAACTTCAAAAAATTTGATTTAAAACATAATCTGCTGCTACACTGTAATAGTTGTTCAAAATAAAGTAAGAAGAGTTTCTCTTTTGGTGGAAACAAGAAAGTAACTCTTGATGGCAGAGGTGGTGACCTATTGCTTAAATTAAGATGAGAGGTATACTGGATTAACAAGTTGCAGACTATGCACCAGAAGGATTCAAACATGTAACATTATATATCTACACTGATCAGCCACTACATTAAAACCATCTAGACAATATCGTGTAGGTCCCCCTGGTACTGCTAAAACAGCTCTGTTGTATCGAGGCATGGACTCAACGTGCCGTCCTGTGGTATTTGGCACCGAGACATTAGTAACAGATCCTTTAAGTCGTGCAAGTTGCAAGGTTGGGCCTCAGTGGATCAGATTTGTTGTTCCAGCATATCCCACAGATGCTATAACAGATTGGGATCTAGGGAATTTGGAGGCCAAGGCAACACCTTAAAGGACTACTATAGTGCCAGGAAAACAAACTTGCTTTCCTGGCACTATAGGGTCTTTAGGTCCCCCACACCCTCAGGTTCCCACTCCCACCGGGCTGAAGGGGGAGAAATCACTTACCCTTCTCAAGCGCCAGGCTCCCTCGGCACGCGGGAAATCTACTCCCTCTTCCGACATCAGCGCTGAATGCGCATGAGCGGTAAGAGCCCCGCTCACATTCAATCAGTCCATAGAAAAGCATTTCTCAATGCTTTCCTATGGACGTCAGTGTCTTCTCACTGTGATTTTCACAGTCGGAAGGTCCTCTAGCGGTTGTCAAGAAGACAGCCACTAGAGGCTGGATTAACCCTAGTGTAAACATACCAGTTTCTCTGAAACTGCTATGTTTACAGCTGCAAGGTTGACCCTAGATGGACCTGGCACCCAGACCACTTCATTGAGCTGAAGTAGTCTGGGTGCCTATAATGGTCTTTTAACCCCTTAAGGACGGAGCCAAATGTACACATTGTGAACAAAACAAAATGTAAACAAAACCTGGCATTTGCGCTACATGTCTGTCCAACCGTAATACACCTCTTTCATAGTAAATGCACCCACCCTTATTATATATCATTTTATTCAGGGGAAACAGGGCTTTCATTTAATATCAAATATTTAGCTATGAATATACGTTTTTTTGGATTTTTTTAGTTCTACATGACATTTTAACGGTCAATGTCATAATACTGTTTGCTTTTACTGCAATAAAATACACATATTTATATTCAGTAAAGTCTCACGTGTAAGACAGTACCCCCTATGTACAGGTTTTATGGCGTTTTGGGAAGTTACAGGGTCAAATATAGCACGTTACATTTGAAATTGAAATTTGCCAGATTAGTTACGTTGCCTTTGAGACTGTATAGTAGCCCGGGAATGAAATTTACACCCATAATGGCATACCATTTGCAATAGTAGACAACCCAAGGTATTGCAAATGGGGTATGTCCAGTCTTTTTTAGTAGCCATTTGGTCACAAACACTGGCCAAAGTTAGCGTTCGTATCTGTTTGTGTGAAAAATGCAAAGAATGCCAATTTTGGCCAGTGTTTGTGACTAAGTGGCTACTAAAAAAGACTGGACATACCCTGTTTGCAATACCTTGGGTTGTCTACTATTGCAAATGGTATGCCATCATAGGGGTAATTTTCATTCTTGGGCTACCATAGGGTCTCAAAGGCAACGTAACCAATCTGGCGAATTTTAATGTGAAAAAAATGAAACGCAAGCCTTATATTTGACGCTGTAACTTTTGAAAACACCATAAAACCTGTACATGAGGGGTACTGTTGTACTCGGGAGACTTCGCTGAACACAAATATTTGTGTTTCAAAACAGTAAAAAGTATCGCAGCAATAATATCGTCCGTGTAAGTGCTGTTTGTGCGTGAAAAAATGCAAAAAACGTCACTTTTACTGGCGATATCATCAATGTAATACATTTTACTGTTTTGAAACACTAATATTTGTGTTCAGTAAAGTCTCCCAAGTAGAACAATACCCCCCATGTACAGGTTTTATGGTGTCTTGGAAAGTTATAAGGTTAAATATAGTGCCAGCAAATTAAATTCCCTTTACTTTCAGCATGGGTTGTCAGGCAGGTCCCGCTAATTGTAATTAATTAAGATACCTAATTATGTAAAAATATTACATAAATATATATGTAGAATTAATATATGTATATATATACGTATGTGTATATATATGTATATATCTATAATTTTTTTTAAATATTTTTATTTATATATAGGTATATATATATAGTGATATATACGTATATATTTATGTATATAGATATATTATTTCGTTCTACGTGTATTTTGATATATATATATATATTAATTTCACAAAACAGTTAGAACGAAATAACACACATCTATATATTTTTAATTATTTATTTTTAATTATTTTTTTAATTTTATTTTTTAACGTATTTACATTTTTATTTTTTTTATATTATATATAAATATATATGTAACAATAATTATATATATATTTAATCAGTATCAGTCTACGTGTAATTTGATATTAATATATATATATATAATTATATATATATTAATAGTAAAATACACCTAGATGGTGTACGTGTGTGTATGTATATGTGTATATATATACTTAGATCATATATATATATAAAATATATATATGATCTAAGTATATATTATTTTTATTTTACACCAATAAATGTAATTTTAATTTTATTTCCAGCCAGCAGGGGGACCACCTGTCATTACAGGCAGCCCCCCTGCTGGCAATGCAGGAGGCAGCCTACCCGGCCATGTGATTGTGGGGTCCTCGCTAGGACCCCACTCTCACATGGCCGGGGAGCACCGGAGGAGAAGGATCTGCCGCGGGTGGGCTCCCTGGGAGTCCCCCCCACCGCGATCGCCGGCGTGGGACCGCCGGCGACCGGGTAAGTTAACAAAAAACGGAGGGCGTACAATTACGCCCGGCGGCGTTTAGAGCCGCCTATTAGAGGGCGTAATTGTACGTCCTCCGGATTTAAGGGGTTAAATGTGCTATATAAATGATAACAGTTACTCCGCCCACTCCAGTTTTAGACTACAGGTTGAGGCAAGAACACTTCACACAATTTCCCCAGAAATTGTAGCTTTTCTAGTTATTATTATTCTTATTATAGCCAAATTTGCCACCCTAACTCCTCCCACAGTTTTTACACTACATAGACAAAAATTTACCTAATCCTGTAGATTGTTCCCGATCGGATTGCTATTACTTTGTGGAACGTTTCGCCGAATGGTTCACGGAATATCGTCGTTCTTGTGGCGAAATTTGTCACATAGGAATGAATGGCAAAGCTAGAGTGGGAGCTGGCAAAAGCTGAAAAATCAGGACATGATTTCTAAACTGCCACCACTCCCTTATTTTCAGGCCCACCTACACAAAGGAATGTAGACATACTTACCTGTTTCTTCTCTACACTGCTATTTTTCTCTTTAGCTCCTCGAGGCTTCATCCAAGAGCGGTATCACTGATGTGCTGTCACACATGACAAATACAAAACAGGGGTCTGTGTAAGATCTCATTGCATTCACTTCCGCTTTGAACTGTTGGACAGCAAGGAGTTGTTACTTAGAGGATTAATAAATGTGTCAATTCCCACTGAAATCAACATTTTTATTTAAAAACAAAATTCAGCTAAATGTGAAAGCACTTCAACAAGCTGAATTGTTTTAATGGACTGAAGAATCCCTTTAATAGCTATTGAAGTGGGATAATCAAATTATACATTCAAATGAGAATTCTGAGATTGGGACCGGTTACATGGCTTCTTTGTTTCAGACAACAAGTTGAGGGACATGGGGATGGCTAGATACAATAAAATGTAGTATCCGTAGAAATCTGTCTAATCTTGGAAGTCCGTGTTAAGCTGCAAGTGCAATGGGTGCATTAACCCGTTCTAACAGCCTATCATTGCTGTCCAAGGTTGAATGGATAATGAAGAATGATTGATTGCTGTCCAAGGTTGAATGGATAATGAAGAATGATTGATTGCTGTCCAAGGTAGAATGGATAATGAAGAATGATTGATTGCTGTCCAAGGTTGAATGGATAATGAAGAAGGGACATTTCTGCGTTATGATGTCAGCAACTGAGCAGTCGGGCTTGGCTACCAAAAGTACAGTTTTTTTTACCAAACCGCATGAAAATTGTAATACCAAGGATTACACATAAGGCTCCTTAAATGTTAACCACTACAAAAAGTTGTACCTGGTATTATTAACATGAATACCAGTTCTTTGCCCTATAGTTTTATTTGATAGCCCAATACTATGTTTTAATTGATACAAAATTAATTTGTACATTTATGAGCTGACATAGCACACAGCATCACCCAGGTCAATTTATTGTGTGATAACGAGCAAGTACATTTGTTTGACTGGACATTACGCATTATATTATATTACCTCTATAATAATGATATAGTTTTCATTCTGTTGATTTATAACATTTTTTTTTTTGCTTTTACCAGATACCTCGATGACGAGTGCTAGGCCTGCAGGATTCCACATGGAGAATTATTATGAAGATTGTATAGCTAACAGTAAATCTGTTATTCATCAAACAGGACACAGCCCAGATAGAAGACAGCAGAATAAACCCATGGAGATTATGACTGAGGAATCAGCCTTACATCTGAATGCAAATTTAACCGACATTGGTATGAATACACAGGCAGGGCATCAACAGCTAAAGGATAGATCAAATCAAATTAAAGGGGAACTTGTTTCTGGTAAAGAAGGAAATCTCACAGGCACTGATACTTTTATACGCATAGAATATACACAAACCAAATATCCATATACTCATATTAAGGAGGAATCAGCTTTGTGTGAAGACAGAAAACTAGCAGATACTAACATTTATACACCCACAGCTCCTGCACAGACCACAGCTCCTGCTACACATATTAAGGAGGAATTAGCCTCCTGTAAAGAAGGAAATCTCACAGACACTGATGTTTGCATGCCCACAATCAGTACACAGACAAAATACTCATCTGCTCATTTTAAGGTGGAATCAGCTTTGTGTGAACAAGAAAACCTCTCAGACGTTTGTACAAACACAGAACGTACACAGATGGAACATCCATCTAACCCTATTAAGGAGGAATCAACCTCATGTGGACATGGGGAAATCACAGACACTGACATTTACACACAGGCAGAATATACTTCTGTTCTTATTAAGGAGGAATCTGTCTCATATAAAGAAGGCAATCTCACAGACACTGACATTTACACACCAACAGAACAGACAGGACATCCATCTACTCCTATTTACCATGAATTATCCACCAGGAAGGAAGGACCTTTAACCAACACCAACCTTTACAGACTAGAAAAGCCTATTCAAACAGAAAATACATTTAATAATGCAGAACACCACAAAATGTGGATTAATACACCTAACATAAATGAGGATTCATCTCTAGTTTACATAAATCTTCACAGAAAGTCACCTACTCTGTGTCCACAAGATCTGTGCGGATCTGATACCTTGTGTAATTGCTTAGACTGTCAGAGATGTTTTATCACTAACTCAGATTATGTTAAATACCAGACTGTTTCTCATCAGCAGCAGCCTGGAGATATTTCATATCCATGTTATGAATGTGGAAAATGTTTTAGCCAAAAGTCTTATCTCATTACACACCAGAAGATTCATACAGAAGAGAAACCATTTTCATGTTCTATATGTGGCAAATCATTTGTCTATAAGAGTTATTTGAAAAAGCATCTCCGATTTCATATAGGAAACAAGCCATTTTCATGTTCTGAATGTGGTAAAGAATTCTATTTTAAAGCACATCTTGTTTCCCATCAGAGGATTCACACTGGAGAGAAGCCATTTTCGTGTTCTGAATGTGGGAAAAGCTTTAATCGGGACTCAAATCTTCTTAGGCATCAGAGAATTCACACTGGGGAGAAACCATTCTTGTGTACACTCTGCAGGAAATGTTTTAGCCGTGATGCTTATCTGGTTTCCCATCAGAGGACTCACATGAAAGAAAAGAGATTTTGTTGTACTGTATGCGACACATGGTTTGTACATAAAAACCAGCTCATTACTCATCTGAAAATTCACATGTGAATTTAGATTATTATTTTTTTTTCTAAATGTTGGATCTGTTTGAGCTGTTACTCACAGAGCAAACCTACATATCAGATCTGAATATAGGAAACATTTTATTTCACAGCTGCTGTACAGGATTGTACTGCTAAGGTTAAAAAAAAGACGATTTTAGGGATGGAACTGAGGAACCAACCTTGCTATTGCTAATGTTTTTGAATTATATTTCCCATGTTGCTGAATCAGTATCACAGGAGCTTGGTTCACATACATTTTCATTGTCAACGTTAGCCATGACGGACAAGGTTAGATAAGACAAAGAAAGTGAGTGGTAAGTGTGAGGGGAAATAGTTCATGTTAACTGAAGTCCATATTTAACTTTGTAACCACTTGTAGGTACAGTTCTTACTAGTAGGCACAACTGTAAACATACGACATATTTTTATTTCCTGTTGAACTGAATCTATTTGAGAGTCCCAGAAATGGATGGAAAAAGTAAAATTCAAAATTACGGCAAGTATTCTACATGAGAGGTAAATCTCCACCCCCTTCCCCAGATGTTGGGTTCATTGACTTAGAGGGGGCAGGAGCAGATCTTTTCTGAAAGTCGATCGCCATGTTTAGATTAATTTCCCACCTTTTCTACGTTGGTTCACCTTTATTGTCTCCTCCTTCTCACCAAGCCTTTTACTCTCCCCCCTCTGCACTCCACTCCATATAGATCAAGTTCAATGTTAACACAGTTTTGATTTGATTGTTTTTCATGTTTTCTTCTAAATACCTATAATTGGCAACGGTTTTGGGAGCTGTACTATTCATTTGCAATAAAATGTGAAATGGACATAAAAAGAGCAGGGCAGGGTGAAGTAGTTAAGACTTTAGTATATTTCACAGATTGATCATGTCTGCACGCCAATACGGTATAACCGTAATTCCCAACCCACCTCTCAAGGCACACCAGCACAACGCAATCACAATCATCGCAGTTAAGATTTATTGACACACTAACAAAGCCACTTTTCCTTAATCAATCTGGACTTGACATACAGTATTTCTCGTCATCAAATTACTGGATACAATTACTGAATTTTCAAACTTAAAGGGTTACTCCGACCAAAAACAGTGCTTTAATATAACAGTTTTAGATGGATTAACCAATGTTGATATTGGCTCCCCCTTAAAAAAAAATAAAAAATTAACAATGAACTTACCTTAGATCCCACACTGAGCCCAAGTTCTCCTTAAAAGAAAAATTCCGTACAGACAGAAAATTGCAAGCCTTGTGAGGCAATTTACACACCTAGAATCAAAATAACTGATTGTTTTTTAATTTACAGGAAATGTATAAACAGTGGCGTCTCCATTATTCATACTTAGGGGGGTCACATAAGGGGCGAGGGACAAAAGTAGCATATAAATTTGACAAACATATAGCATATATCACATGTTCATGCTACAGAAAGCTTCACGTATGTCCGGTATTGGTTGGGGTATGTATCTGGTATATGCCGATGAATTCCACTATCCCAATGTCTTGATAATATGTACTGGTATGTTTATGCTAGAATCAGTGGTGGCTGCTCCATTGCGGAAGGAGTGTCCTGAGTAGTGGAATGGATTAAAGCCTAACCTTGCCAATAATACTCTAATATAGAGTGTGAATTTACTAGTGGTAAGGTAAACAAAGGTTGGTCATGGGAACCTGGAACAATGGTTAGGAATTGATCTAGTACCTGTACCAGGCACCACATGTTACTGGTAGGGTAACTTTACCAGTTTATTCTTTGGTGTGGTTGAGGGATAGTATGTAGTGATCTTGTATTTTTACAATCTGCGACATTCCGACGGCCAGACGAGGTCGCCCCAGAAGTGCCCGGTGACGGACTTGAACCAGGGTACTTTGCAGTCCTGGGGCTGCTACTTTGCCTCTGAGCCACCATATCGGCTCTAGAGATAGATAGAAGTCTATCTTGCCTTGTACCCAGCATTGGGGGCTGGACGTTATTCTGTGGCTGCTCCAACGATCTCAGCACACCTGTGGCTGATCACAAGTTTTTTCTGCTGAGTTATTGCACACATATTATTGTGATGCCTAGTATGCTTATTGGGTTGCCTATTAAGGGATATGTTTCCTCACTGGGGAGTATTGAGTGCGCCAATAGATAGGTGCCAGTAGATGGTATGGCGACCACTTATATTTACTTTTGCATTGCGCATGCGTGTTCATATTTAGGCTGATGAGGATAGTTATGGATTATATGATAGCAGGATACTCTTATACATATGATGGAATTTGTCTGACAATAATGTTGTGAATGTGTAATGTATTTATTGCTATTATGTTTTACATATAGGGCTATGATCTGAGGTGATGATGTCACTTCCGGTCACGGCTCTCTGTGATATCACTGATGGCCATCAGCTGTAAGTAGTTTGTTTATGTGTATATAATAGTTTCCTGGACGATGTTGTGATATAGTTACCCTTGATAAAGGCTACCAGGAGGAGCCGAAACGTTGGGGGATTATTTGTGACTCGTGTTTCTGCCCATATAGGCTTGTGGAATTTTGGTAAATATATTGTTAAACTTTTTTGCCTATTTGGTCACTGTTACATTTTTTATGTGAGACTTGGATTTGTATTGTAATAAAATATATATAGATATACATTATTGTATTAGTTGGTGTGCATTCCTTTCTTTTTGAATATTTGCTATATTGGTATTGAAGGGAGTACCTTCTTGGAATAGCACCCATAATTGTGGTAGCAATTATACTAAGTGTCTCTCCACATGTTGTATTTTATATGATCACAAATTAGCCAGGTATAAGACACTGCCTCTCCCTGAGGACAGTGTCAGTTCATTGACTCTGGTTCCCTTGTTTGGTTCCTGTCTTGCTATATCTGCGTTCCAGTATTTCCTGTCTGATTCTGGCTTCTGACATTGGCTTTCCTCCTGGACTACTCTGATATCTGGCTTCCCCTGACTTTGGCTTTCCTTGACTACGCTTCTGCTAATCCCTGCTGTACTGTTACTTGGAGCACTATTCCTGGAAAGCCCCCGTGCACAGACTCACAGATCAGGTGGCGTCTTACCTGGTCACCCTGGTCTGTGTCTACTTTGCAAGGGTGAGCATATAACTCTGCGAGCCAGACTCCCCATCAGGTAAGAACCTGACATGATGTTTGTAGTGGTAAACTCTCCGGGTCTAAGGAACCCATAGAAAGCTAAGTAGATAGCGGTTTTAATGACATGATTAGTGTGCGATTTGAAAGGGGTTGTATCCATGAGGTCCGATAATGATTAGAAGAGTTGACTATGAATAGGTGATCTAGAAGATGGTGGTGTGGGGTTTTAATTCTCAATGCCTTTTAGTATGGTTTTGATTTGATAAGATGATAGGAAACTGTGGTTGTTTGGCCAATGTGTAAGTATATGGTGTTGTGTTGTAAGATAATTTTAATTTAAGGTGGCAAAAAGAAGTGAAAGCTACAATAGTTTCCATTGAATATTTATTTACAACCTGAAAGTGCAACAAGAATCTGTTATGAATACGGAATGCCCTGTCGTATGACTTTCTAGTATTGTCAGACAAAGCCAATTATGAAAAGGAGTCTGCCATGAGTTAACAGATCTCTGAATCCAATGTCATGTCCTGCCATGACGGAGCCGGGGTAGCCACCAAGGCTGTCGTCGGTAAAGCTTAATTTCCTCAGAAAGCTCATGATGATCAGAGATTTAGAACGACTTTTGTTAATTATATGGCAGGTGGCTAAGTTGTCAAAAAAAATCTCATCGCCTGACCTGACCATGCTGCTCCCCACACTACTCCCTCAGCTACAATAGGATTTGTAAAAATTTGTAGGCGTAAAAATAAGTTGGAGTTGCATAGGGAGAGATAAGTCCAACTTACCCACCTGACCAGAACGAGTATGGCATCCATATGTTATGGGCAAATGCAAATATTGTATTCCTCAAACCGTGTACTTTGTCTTTAAGAGATATTGCAAACAGACAAGGTGTTAGAAATGGAACATATTGTTTTTTCATAAATGTTTCTTTAAGCAATAACCTCTTACCTACTTTCAGTGCATAATATGTTTACACCATTTTGTCCCAGACGAAATACAATAACAATAATGCATAAACAAGCTTCAAGGCTATACTACCACTCTTTCATTACATAATATACTGGGGTGCAGGACATGTGATAGTTTATTGCAGGGGGCAGACTGGACACAGTGTAATAATAAACTGGATTTCTGGGGTGCTGGACATGTGATAGTTTATTGCTGGGGGGCAGACTGGACACAGTGTAATAATAAACTGGATTTCTGGGGTGCAGGACATGTGATGGTTTATTGCAGGGGGCAGACTGGACACAGTGTAATAATAAACTGGATTTCTGGGGTGCAGGACATGTGATGGTTTTGTACAGGGGCAGACTGGACACAGTGTAAATATAAACTGGATTTCTGGGGTGCAGGGCGTGTGATGGTTTATTGCAGGGGGCAGACTGGACACAGTGTAATAATAAACTGGATTTCTGGGGTGCAGGACGTGTGATAGTTTATTGCAGGGGCAGACTGGACACAGTGTAATAATAAACTGGATTTCTGGGGTGCTGGACATGTGATGGTTTATTGCAGAGGGCAGACTGGACACAGTGTAATAATAAACTGATTTCTGGGTGCAGGACATGTGATGGTTTATTGCAGGGGGCAGACTGGACACAGTGTAATAATAAACTGGATTTCTGGGGTGCAGGACATGTGATGGTTTATTGCAGGGGGCAGACTGGACACAGTGTAATAATAAACTGGATTTCTGGGGTGCAGGACATGTGATGGTTTATTGCAGGGGGCAGACTGGACACAGTGTAATAATAAACTGGATTTCTGGGGTGCAGGACATGTGATGGTTTATTGCAGGGGGCAGACTGGACACAGTGTAATAATAAACTGGATTTCTGGGGTGCAGGACGTGTGATAGTTTATTGCAGGGGGGCAGACTGGACACAGTGTAATAATAAACTGGATTTCTGGGGTGCTGGACGTGTGATAGTTTATTGCAGGGGGCAGACTGGACACAGTGTAATAATAAACTGGATTTCTGGGGTGCAGGACATGTGATGGTTTATTGCAGGGGGCAGACTGGACACAGTGTAATAATAAACTGGATTTCTGGGGTGCAGGACATGTGATGGTTTATTGCAGGGGGCAGACTGGACACAGTGTAATAATAAACTGGATTTCTGGGGTGCAGGACGTGTGATGGTTTATTGCAGGGGGCAGACTGGACACAGTGTAATAATAAACTGGATTTCTGGGGTGCAGGACATGTGATGGTTTATAAACTGGATTTCTGGGGTGCAGGACATGTGATGGTTTATTATTGCAGGGGGCAGAATGGACACAGTGTAATAATAAACTGGATTTCTGGGGTGCAGGACATGTGATGGTTTATTGCAGGGGAGCAGACTGGACACAGTGTAATAATAAACTGGATTTCTGGGGTGCAGGACATGTGATGGTTTATTGCAGGGGGCAGACTGGACACAGTGTAATAATAAATTTCTGGGGTGCTGGACGTGTGATAGTTTATTGCAGGGGGCAGACTGGACACAGTGTAATAATAAACTGGATTTCTGGGGTGCAGGACATGTGATGGTTTATTGCAGGGGGCAGACTGGACACAGTGTAATAATAAACTGGATTTCTGGGGTGCAGGACATGTGATGGTTTATTGCAGGGGGCAGACTGGACACAGTGTAATAATAAACTGGATTTCTGGGGTGCAGGACATGTGATGGTTTATTGCAGGGGAGCAGAATGGACACAGTGTAATAATAAACTGGATTTCTGGGGTGCAGGACATGTGATGGTTT